CTCCCCACCAACCCAGGTGGGATGGGGCACAGCCTTCTCCCTCCTGTGGCGACACGCATGGGTCTTACCCCACCTCCTCACAGTGTCCTTGTTTCAGGGCTGAACAGTGTTGCCTGGGGCCCAGAGGCCCTGCACTCACCTCCTTCCCCAGGGACCCACCCCACTCTGCCTGCCTGGAGTCAGTCACTCCCTGGGCACAGGGAGGTAGCCACTAGGGTACCCATGTACATGTGCCTCTGTCTGCCAGGTCTGCCGGGGGCTTGGTCTGCCACTCCTCTGTGCCTCAGTCTGGCTGCAGGGCCTGGGAATAAGTGGCAGCTCCGGGCACTCATCCGCCTTTGTGTCCTCAGCCCCGTTAGGTGTGTGCCCTTGGCAAGGTCATGTGGCCCCTGGGCCCCCATCCAAATGAACTGGCCCCTCACCCGATGGTCCGGCATGATCTGTACAGGGCTATGCGGGCCGGGTGAGGAAGGAACTCTGGGTGGGGAGGCCGGGGCTGCCTCCCAATGCGTCCCTGTCCCTGGGCTCCTACCTGCTGCCCCTGCCTGTTTTCCTTCAGAAAGATGAGAGAGCCCTCAAGGCCGTCTCGGTGGGGGAGGAGTGAGAGCACAAGTTCAGCGTGGCACCGTGGGAGTGTGGGGAGCCCACACTTCGGAGGACTTTGAGGGGCCCTGCCCCTCAGTCTGGGGTGGCTGAGACTATCCCCAAGCTGTGTCCACTGAGCCTGCCCACCCCTGGCAGGTCCCAGAGCCCAGCCACAGCTGCCCAGGACCAGGGACTTTGCCTCTGCCCCGGATGGAGCTGCCCAATTCCACAGCAGGCACACACAGACACACACACGCACAGCTGCACGGTGCTCCCCTGCAGCCCCAGATTCAGGGCCCAGAATTCAGGATGAGGTGTGGGCAGGGCCTGTTCTGCCCAGGGGTACCTTCCCCTCTCCTGCCTGCTCCGAGACAGAGGGCTGGTGTTTCTGCAGTGGCCTCTGGCTCTGCCCCACTCTGAACACTGGGGCTGCAGCCTGGCTGTGGCTGTCAGGGGACCTGGGAACCCTAACTAAGGACTGCCCTTCCCACCCTCCTTCTGGGGTCTTCTCCCAGCTTGAGGGTTAAGCTGAGAGTGTCCTGAGTAACAGACACCTTGGGGTGTCTTTCCAGAGAGCTTCCCCACCTCAGGGAACCCCAGTACTCCTGGGGCCCTGAGGGCTCTATCACTCCAGGTGCCTCTGGGAGGGCCTGCAACTTGGGCACCCCACAAACGGGCAGGCTGCGGCTATGTGAGGCTGGGGACTGGCTCCCCAGGGCCCAGCCAAAATCCCTGCACCTGCCCACCAGGGCCTTAGCAGCCCAAACGGGACCCAGGGTCACAGCTGTGGCAGAGCAGGAGAGAAGGTGAGGGGGGCTGCCAGCCCCCATCCCAGTCCCTCCCCACCAGCTGAAGCCTGAGCTCCTGTCTTCACGCCCAGCTCCCCATGTTCCCCTTTGGGGACAGATGCCCAGCTAGGGAGGACCACAGAAGCAGGGCTCAGGAATGCATGCCCCCATGCACAACATCACGGGACGCCCAACTCATGGTCACCCCTGGCACATACGAGGCCCCACACCTGCTGTGGGTGTCACCCCAGGGAGAGGGTGTCACATGCTCTCTCCCGTGCACGCAGCCTCTACCTCCTCCTTGGACCACTGAGATGGCAACACTGGCCCAGCCCACTCGTTGCCCACAGCCTTCCTGAGGCTGGGTGCCAGGATATGGGGTGCAAGCCCTGGTGGGACCTAGGTGAGGAGCCGAGGCCCCCCAGGCCCTGACTCGTTGACAGAGCTGCCACCCTGCCCCCATGGCCTGACTGGCTGCTCGCCTCCACCCTCCGCCGGCAGTGATGCCCATGGCATCAATGATTGATGCTTGCTGCGGCAGCTGCAGCAACATAAGCAAAAATAGCTCTGCTGTGGTCCTTGCCCCACCCCATTCACAGCCTTTCGTGCAGTCCAGCCCTGTGCCCAGATAGAGGGGTGTGGAGAGGGGAGAGCAGCGAGGACCGTCTCAGCCGCCACCTGCCCCTGCTCAGTCTTTTGCATGGAGATGATGGGGGAGGACCCCTGTGAGCAGGTGGGGGTACTTGTCCACCCAGCCTCCCCCTCTTGCCTGACCACACTGACTCCTGACCTGCAATGGCCTCACTCCCTCTCAAAGCTGGGTGCCTCTTTCAGGCCTGGGTATTGTCCCCAGGTCCACTTCCTCTGCACCTACACAGATGGGATCAGGAAACATGGCTGTGGGGAGCATGTCAGGGTGCTGCCCTCGTCCCATGCAGGTGGGCTTCTTTCAATGCCTGTGTCTCCATCGAGCCCTCTGGTTCAGCAGTCGGCCTGGGATCTGAGTAGCAGCAGGTTCCCATGCTGCTGCCTGCAAGCTCTCGTTCCTGCTGCTGGTGGCTAGGACAGGCGCTCTCCCCCGCTTGCCCTAGGGACCTGAGGCTGAGGATTGCAGAGGAGCAGGATGCCTGGGTGCTTCTGGGGACCCCTGCCCAGCCAGTCCTTGCTCATCAAGTGATGCTGGGAGGTGCTGAGATGACTGTGAGGTTCTGTCAAAGGGCTCAGGCTAGCCCCTCCTCCTGAGGCTGGGGTTGGGAAGCTCGGCTCCTCTGCAGAGGGAAGGTGCTCCCCACACACTCATTGAGCAGGGCTGGGGCTCAGGGGTGCACAGAGGTGGCTGGAGAGGTCCTGAGAGGGCCACATGGGCTCTTCCTCCTGACCACACTGCATCTGCCCCCTCCACGCCCCTCAGGAGTCATGGCTAATGTCCCCCACACCCAGACTTTAATGGGAACCCACCCTCTCGCACCCAGTCTCCTTTAGCAGCTGGGGCCAATTCAACTTGAGCAGTGCCTGCTCTGCTCACAAACCTGGAAGCCTTGTCCTCAGCTGGTGCCCCAAAGGGCTGTGCCATGAAGCCAGCTGGTCTGCCCAGAGCTGGCCCAAGAAGCCAAGCGGCCTAGCAGCTACCTGGGCTGCCCCACCTCCTCCTGCAACCAGGGTTGGGCACCTGAGGTCAGGGTTGCCTCTGCCATTTCCTCTGCACCTTGGCTTCCCTGAGGCAGCACCTTTCAGTGGGTTGCAAGGGGTCACTCAGTGTATCAGCACGGCTGGGGCCATAACCAAACCAGAAACACAGTGGTGGAAAACAGCATGCAGCACACTGATCAGCTCTTCTAGGTGTGGGCTGGACGGTGTGCCTTCCGGAGGTTTCAGCGGAGACCCGTTTCCTGGTCCCTTCAGCCTCAGAGGCATCTTCAGTCCTGAACTGGTGCCCAGTATCACTCCGGCTCTGCTTCCATCTCTGCGTCTCATCTCGTCTCGGACTCTGACCTTCCTGTTTCCTTACCAGGCCCTTTGTGATTGCTCCTCACCGGGCTCATCTCCTCCTTTCCAGAGCCTTTCACGGAAGCACATCTATAAAGTGGCTTTGACCTTGTAAGGTCACATATTCACAGGTTCCAGGGATTAGGATGTGGACATCTCTGTGGGGCTCTGTTCAGCCACCACACCAGCTAATCAAGCCATATGGGTCATTTTTATACTCAAACCATCCTGGGTGTACCGTGCGCCCCACGCTCTCCACGTGGAAGCTGAGGCCCAGCTGGGAGTGGGGGATTGCAGAGAACCAGGAGAACAGCTCCTGCCCCAGCTCTGCTCCTCACACAGGCCTTTGGGGCTGGGCCTCAGTTTCCCCACCTGTACACAAGGACAACACTCCTCCTGCCCGCCCCCCACCCCCAGCTTCCTGGGCCTCAAGGACGGCAAGGACAGTGCAGTGATGAGAGCAGCAGTGGGAATGGATGCTGCCCCTAGGCTGACAAGACAGGCTCAGGCCTGGTCTACAAATCCAACCACTGCCCAGTCACCATCCTTAGGGCCACTGTGGTGCTGGGGTGGCCGGGCCAAGGTCCAGTCCCAGACAGTCTGACGGAAGAGCTCCCATACTGCGTGGCCTGGCTGCTCTGCCCCTCAGGAAGGAGGGGGGATGGGAGGCTGGTCTAAGGCGCAGAGAATGATCTCATCTTGCCATTTGTAATATTAAAGTTTTTGGGAGCTTGGCTGAGAAGGACCAGTAGGGGAAGGAGTGATTCAAGCAAGGACAGAGTCCAGGCCCCAGGGTGAGAGAAATGTGAGCCTGGAAGTGGTGGACATGGGTGGGGTGGACAGCAGGTGGCGTGGGCAGCGGGTGGCTAGCTCAGGGCTTCACTAGGGCCAGGCCCTCCTCTTTCTCAGAAGAGGCAGTGATGGGTCCAGTCTGGGAAGGCCAGGGAGGAGATGGGAGTCAGGTTGACTCCTTGAGTCTGGGGGTGAGGGCTGAGGGCAGAAGGCCTGGAAGCCCAGAGGGGAGCTGGCAGAGGTCAGGCTAGTTCCTCAGTCCGGCTGTGGCTGGAGAGAGGCTGTCCACCGGCCCAGCTCTGCCGGGGGCTGGCTGATGACAGCTGAGGGGGCACTCCGTAGGGCCTGCGAGGGAGGGGTGGAGCCTCCCCGCCGCTCCTTCCCCCAGGAAGGCAGACGAGTTAGGGGCAGGCAAGGTTCTGGGGTTCAGGAGTCAGCAAGACAGACTTGGGCCTCGCCTCGGGGAGCTGGAGTCCTGAGGGGCTCAGCTGCACCCACAGAGGGGGCGCGGCGAGCTCAGCCGCGGGGCGCCGGGAGAAGGTGCTGCGGGTGATGGATGCGCTGGGACGGGCCTAGGGGGCTTGTGAGGAAGAAAGAACCACTCAGGCAGCGAACTGAAGACGGATCGAAAGCTCGTGCGACCCCGCGCCCAGAAATCTGCCAATGGAGAGGCCCGAACCCACCCACAGTGGCTGCGGCCCGGGGCGGGGCCTGGCGAGAGAGGGCGGGGCCGGGCCGTGAGATTTTAGGGCGGGGCCGGGCCAGAGAGGGCGGTACCAGTGCTGGCCACGCCCCGGGTGCGTGCAGACGCCACGGCGGCGAACACCGGAAGCGGAGGTGGCGCACGCCGTTGCCGGGCAACGGCGGCGCGGGCTTGAGGGGACGGCTGGTGGCAGGTTTCGCCCGGCTTCACCCCGCCGGGCCCAAGCGAGACGGCGACGAAGGTGCGTGCGGGCCCTGGGTCCAGGACGCGTGGGGACCCTTGCGAGCCGCGGGCTGGGTGCTCAGCCGGCCACCTCGGACCCTGTCCATACTCGGCGGTCCAGGGGTGCCCTGCGGGCCGCGTGCGAGAGGGACTCTCTGGAGACCCCGGGGCGCCGCACCCCTCCTTCCCACTCGGGCCTCCAGTGGGAGCTCGGCTCCCGCTCCTCTGGTCAGCGTGGGGCTCCCAGGCCCGCTTGACACTCTCTCCAGAGAAGGAGCCCCGCCTTGGGCCGCTCGTCGCACACCTGCCGTGGATCCGGGACGCGCCCCTGTGTCGGACTCCGCGCTGGCGCGCGTAGGAGGAAGCCAGGACTCCCGGGCGACCGGGCCGTGCTTGTGACTAGTGTCACCTCGACAGCAGCACGTGGGAACTCTCCACCATCAGCCACTGGGCATCCCGGGGCACTCCTGCGCGTCCCAGGCCCTATCCAGGGCAGGGGAAGGTTGGGCGGCCAGCACTGTGGTGTGCGTGTCTCAAGAGCAGCCGCCCATCGGGCCTCTGCTGGCCTGGCGGCTCCAAGATGCAAGACCGGCAGGAGCTGGAGGAAGAGCCTTTGAGTGACTTCCAGACGGAAGCAGCCAAGGCTTCCCTCCGAGTGGCACCTGAGGGGCTGAGTGATGACACTTTGGAATGGATACGGATCTCCCCTGACCTTCTGTCGGATGGGAAAGCTAGCAACTCCCTGCCCCGTGAGGGTGGTTCCACCTGCACCACCCGGTGTCCTGACCCTGGGGAACACAGCAGCACTTGGGGGGAGTTTGAAGGCTTTCGGGAATTTTCAGCTAAGTCCGGACAATTCTCGCAGTCGCTGGAACTCCTGGAGGGACCCACGGAACTCCAGCCACCGAGCACCACTTCTACCCCAAAGGAGTGCAGTTCTCACCAACTGTGCCAGGGTGGACCTTGGGTGACAGGAACTGCTGCTATCCCACCTTCTGAGGTATTTCTACAGCGCTGTGGTCACCATGTTGAGTGGGACGTGTGTACACACCAAGAGACCTGCAACCCTGACTGCTGTGGTGTGCTGGCCAGGGAGTGGCTGACAGCCTTGGAGGATATGCTTTTCTCCTGGCCTTCATCCCTGGCCATGTGGTTGGCAGTCCCATCCTGAGGCCAGGAAAGGAATGAGTTGGCAGAGGAGGCTGCAGAAATGGGTCATGCCAAGGCCAGGTGGGGGCCACCTGAGCTGGATCCCTCTCTCTGACCATTCCTCCCCCGGCCTGTCCACTCCCCATTGGCAGGCTGCACAGGCCCCAGGTCAGGGCATGTAGGGAGGACCTTTATGTCTGAATTCTGAATCTGCAGAGTTCAAAAGTCTCAGAGATTCTAAAATCACATGATCACATTTCAACTTGTTGTTATGAATTGGGTGATGCCCGATCTGACCTGTCCAGGAGCCCTGGTCCCAGCCCTCAGCCCCTTGCCCCCTGCTCTCTTTGAGAGCTGACTGTCACGTGTTTACTGCTGGTGACGCCTCTGATCCTTCTTTTTTCCTGTCTTCTTTCTCCTTCCATTGTCTGCTTTCTCTGCCACTTCTTCCCAAATGATTCATCCCGAACATCATCATGAGAGATAAGAAGTAAAACCAGGCCGGGCGCGGTGGCTCAAGCCTGTAATCCCAGCACTTTGGGAGGCCAAGGCGGGTGGATCACGAGGTCAAGAGATCGAGACCATCCTGGTCAACATGGTGAAACCCCGTCTCTACTAAAAATACAAAAAAGTAGCTGGGCATGGTGGCGCGTGCCTGTAATCCCAGCTACTCAGGAGGCTGAGGCAGGAGAATTGCCTGAACCCAGGAGGCGGAGGTTGCGGTGAGCCGAGATCGCGCCATTGCACACTCCAGCCTGGGTAACAAGAGCGAAACTCCATCTCAAAAAAAAAAAAAAAGAAGTAAAACCAGAGGAAGGAAATAAAGATATTGCGGTTCTCAGGACTGGATTGTTTTCTAAACCGGTCAGTTTCCCTGGACCCTGACAAGATCCACTCTAATAGAGTAAGGTCTGCTGTCATGCTTGTTTTGAACACAGGATTTGTTTTCCAGCATGATTGACATATCAGGGAACAATTTGAGCACAGTTGAAATTTCACAAGAAAGAGTAGGTGAATGCAGAAAACTGCCCCCTGCTGAGCTGAGGCACACTGGAATACATGAGAGTCGCATACGCACACCCTCAAACAGCTATCAGCGCCCCAGTGTAGCACACCTATCCACACCTGGTGTTAGGACCTCGCCCAGTTCAGACCGCCCTCCTCCCGCCTGTTCACGGTAACTCAGCCCGCGAGCCTTTGCCTTTTCCAAGGTACAGTGCTGTGCTTATTGTAGTATATATAATTTCTTCACCAAACATGGAAAACAGTGCTAACATTATTGGGTAGCCATCTTTTTTCATGTGTCACTGACAAAGTTTTGATGTTTTGCCCTAACCTCACTTTTCCCTTGAGCCCTCTGGTTTTGTGTGATTTTGCTAATGTGATTTTTAGGAATGACTATGTCAAGTGATAGTAACGCTAATGGTATGATCAATTACAGATTTCATGGGTATCATAATTATTTCTTTGGAATAACGTAACATGATGTGTCTTTCTCCTAACTTTAGTATGCTTTTGTTTTTTTCTTTTCAGCCCATTCTCAGCTATGAGAACATTTTAAAGTGTGCTTTTCAAGAAATAACAGTTCAGCAGGCAGCTGAAGACATTTCCACCCTAGACCATTTTCTAGAAATAAGCAGTGAAGAAAAGCCTGGCCATGAATGTGTGCATAAATTGTGGTAATGAACTTAAGAAATATTTCATGCAGCAACCCCATTTTTACTTTTGTTTGATAAAAGTAGATGTGTGAGGCTTTGTTTTTGCCTTTCTAGGGCCATGTCTTCTGAAGGCCCTGCCATCTATGGGTCACAGGGGTCCTATTGGGAGAGGGCAGCAGGATTGATGCGCCAGCTGTGGCCCTCCACTCCAAGCCCTGTTCATCCCCTCCCACACCAGGTCACCTGGAGCAGCTGGACCCGAGCCCTGCTCCCCCTGGGTCTCAGTGCCAGTGCTGGTGGAAGGCTGGGGGACTCACACTCAGTGTGAGCGGCTGGTGGGCCTGGGCAGTGGGTACAGGGGCCTCCTGGGGAACATGACTGAGTGGGCACTGGCTGCCTCATGGTCCTCAGCCACAGAGTTCTAGAAAATACTCCACACTCTGGAGCCCCATTCTCAGCCCCAGGCCCAGCCCCATGGGTGTGCTCCCAGTGCTGGCTGCAGGGCTGTGGGCTCCTAGGGGAAGTCACACATGCAGTCGTTTGCAGATGGCCATTTTCTAGGGACACACTTTCAACTGAACGTTGAGAAAGAAACAGTGCTCTGTGGATTATGCAGCAGTGGTTGAGAAGCTCGGGAGAAGTTGGCCCAAAGCCCCAGAGGGAGGAGGGAAGTGAAGGCTGGAGTGAGTTGGCTTCCCTGTTTCTCGGTGTGGTCTGTGGAGTGGGTTTCCCAGCAGCCAGGGGAGAGCAAGGTTGGTCTGCTGATTTGTGTGTCTCTGAGCAGGCCTGGACTTTCAGAAGACTCTACAGACAGGCCGTTCTGGGCTCTAGCCCTGGCCCACTGTGGCCTCTACTGGGGTCCATCCCAGCACCTGCTCCAGAGTACACTCCACAGGGGCCTGAAGACAGGCCTGGAGCCCAGAAGGCTGCAGCCAGCATTGCCCAGATGACCAGTGTGCACTCTGTGTGTGGTGCTTCTGCAAAGCATGATCCTGGAGAAAAACTGCCAAAAATGTCCCAGCAAGCTGGTGGTGCGGGAGGTCACCGTGCTGGCAGTACTGACACCTCTGTCCGCAGCAGCACTACTCGTGGACCCAGAGGAATGGGGGTCCTGGGTGTCAGGACCTGGCAGGGCTGTACACTCATGGGACAGAAGGCTGGCTGGCACGTTGCGGGTGGAATAGAGCATGGTTTGTGTGTTCTGAACATTGGCATATTTTGAAAATGGTTTGGCATTTAGCACATCTGGCTTTCTTCTGTAGTTATCTGGAGTGCAGTGGCGTGATCTCAGCTTACTGGAACCTCTTCCTCCTGGGCTCAAGTGATCCTCCTGCCTCAGCCTCCCAAGAACTGGGACTACAGGCACATACCACCACACCCAGCTAATTTTTGTATTTTTTTGTAGAGACAGGGTTTTGCTATGTTGCTCAGGCTGGTCTCGAACTCCCGAGTGCAAGTGATTTGCCCTCCTCAGTCTCCCAAAGTGCTGGGTGGTGAACCACCACACCTGGCCTTGCAGTCAATTTCCCTTTTCTGCTAGCACGTGAACTGCTTACAGGAGACTCGTCTCAGTCCCCCACAGCACATAGCAGTGATGTGTGACACGTAGTAGACAGTCTCCCATTCGTTTGTGAGCATCTGTTTTGTACTCAGCACAGTTCTAAGCACTTGAGTGAACAAAACCAGCAAAATACCTGGCCCCATGAAGCGTCTGCTCCTTGGAGGAGACAGTAAGGACACTGCCAGGGCAGGTGGTGTGAGGCGCAGAGAGGGCCTGGGAGGGGGGTTGGGGTGCTGCAGGACGGCACGTGCTGTTTGAATAAAAGTGTGAATGGGTCAATAAATGAGACAGCTCAGGGCTCCTGCAGGGAACGCTCTTTTTAGGGTTCTTAACAGCCATGTGCCTCTTGGCTCTTGTGAGTCTCAGCTTAGGGGTCAAGGCCAGGTGCCTGCTGTGTGCCTTGGGCAGTGCTGCAGTGACCTCATCAGAAGGCCTTCAAGGTCACCTTTTAACAGTTGCATCTATTTTCCAGTAATGAATCTAGGAAACTCTGGAGAGTCCTTCAGAACACATACGCGTCTGCTTCTCAGTGCCTCTGGAGCGAATCTCATTGCCAGGAAAATTTTTTTCTCATTCTCGGGATAGATGCCATGCAGAAGGTAGGTGGTTTGGGCTGAGACAGGGCTCCTGGGAGTGTGATTGGACTTCACTGTGGCCAGTGGCCCTTGGCTGCTTCCAAGGGTAGAAGTGTGGGGTCACCTGGACATAGGTGGGTTAAAGCCACTAGGTGGCCCCATAAATGTGTCAGGGCCATTGGATAAATCCCTAATGCTTGAGGCAGGAGCCAGCAAAGCCTAGAGCAGGAGGCAGGGAAATGCTCTGCAAGGAACCAGTCTGAGCCTGCAGCAGACAACAAACACAGAGAGCCACGCATCAGTTCACACACATGGCTGTGCACACGCTGCCACACGCATACACCGCCACACACCACCACACGCACACCGCAACACGCACACTGCAGCCCACACACTGCAGCTCCCACACACCACCACACACATGCTGCAGCTCACACACCGTCACACGCACACACTGCCACACACGCAGCCCACACACACCGCCACACACACACTACAGCCCACATACCGCCACACACACACTGCAGCCCACACACACGCTGCAGCCGACACACACCGCCACACACACACTGCAGCCGACACACTGCCACACGCGTACACTACAGCCCACACACTGCCACACACACACTGCAGCCCACACACATGCTGCAGCCGACACCGCCACACACACACTGCAGCCGACACACTGCCACACACGTACACTACAGCCCACACACCGCCACACACACACTGCCGCACGCACACACTACAGCCCACACACCGCCACACACACACTGCAGCCCACACACTGCCACACGCATACACTACAGCCCACACACCGCCACACACACTGCAGCCCACACACACCGCCACACACACACTGCAGTCCACACACTGCCACACACACAGCACCATACACACACTGCAGCCCACACACACGCTGCAGCCCACATACACCGCCACACACACACTGCAGCTCACACACACCGCCACACACATGCTGCAGCTCACACACCATCGCACGCACACACTGCCACACACACGCAGCCCACACACACCGCCACACACACACTGCAGCCCACACACTGCCGCACGCACACACTACAGCCCGCACACTGCCACACACACACTGCAGCCCACACACACGCTGCAGCGCACACACACCACTGCGTGTGCACATGCCGCCATATGCATACTGCTGCATGCACATCACTGCCATGCGTGCACACCGTCGCACATGCACACACTGCCGTGTGTGCATACACCACTGCCATGCACACACTGCTGTGAGCACCCACCGCAATGCACACACTGCTGCGCACACACCGCCATGCACACACACACCGCCACACGCACAGCACTGCCACGCACACACTGCCACGCACACGCTCAAGCTCCTGAGCTGTCACAGAAAACGTCAGTCATAGGGAGGGCCACCTTTCAGCGATCTAGATGGCAAGGATCTTTCTTCATTCTTAAACCTTATGGAAATTTTCAAACATGAAAAACTCAGACTCAGAAAGGACTGGCCAGGCAGGCAGATTGGTCCTGGTGAAGATGGGCATGAAAATGGTTGCCCTGGCGGCCCATGGGCTGCACACTGGGCTGGACAGGAAGGAAGCGAGGGCGGAAAGGAAGAGGTTCCCAGTGAGGTCAGCCCTGGCTGTGTCATTGTGCGAAGAAAACAGAACCAGGAGGCTAGGGCATAGGGGAAGCCTCCTGAATAGGAGGCTTAGAGGTGGGATAGCTCCGTGTGGCAGCAGCCTGAAGGGTGTGTCCTGAAAGTGGCTGTGAAGACATTCTGTTGAGCAGTTTGAGGGGCATGAGGTCCTGGAGGGAGGGAGGCCCGTGAGCCGGGGATGGGCAGTAAGTGGCAGGGCCATGCAGGGGAAGCTGGCCGGCCTGACCTTCAGCGGGGCCTGAGAGAAGTTTGCCATTGTAGAATGAAGTGAGTAGAGGGCTCAGGTTGAAAAGCAACAGGAGACAAAGGGTGGCTGGCTGACGGGTCTGTCTCCTTAGGACCTTTCTGGAGGCCAGGGCCACATCATGGACGATTCTGACCTCAAAGAGCCTGAAGGACTCCTGACTGTCAGCAGCTTCCGCCTCCACCATTGCAAAGCCCTGATCCAGACCAAGGTGAGTGGCCGCCGAGGAGAGGCCAGGGGACTGCGCTGGCTGTGCCCATACAGGTGCCACCCTTCGCTTTTTCTGTAAGTCAGTTGCAGGTTTTCTTCCTTTAAACCTTGTGGACTTAAAGAAAACAAACATTTCTACTATTTAGGGCAGACAAGCAAAGTGTGAACCCCACTGCAGCGTGCCCAGGAATATCAGTATGTCATCCACAAAGACTCTTAGGCCAGAGGACCCAGGAGAACTACCAGGAGAAGCCAGCCAGGCAGAGAAGAGAGCTGCAGGGAAGCTGAGCCCGCCGTGTGGGTGACAAGGCTGGAAGGATGGGGCAGGGCCAGCTTGAGACTGTTGGGACAGGACATTGAGTCCGCCTGGCAGCTGTCGTGAACAGATCTGACTGTGGCGGCTTCAGCTGTGGGCCATGTACCTTCCACAGGATCTGTCGGCAGCTCTTCTCTCAGGAGCTCAGGTTCCTGCTGCAGAGTCCCTTCACATTGTCACAGCAGGGCTCAAGGCGGGAAGAGGGGATGGGCAGAGAGGGGTCTTCTTCCTGTAGCCTCTCTTATCAGGGGGAAGAAGGGCTTTATTCGGAGACCACGTATTGCAGGAGGGGCGAGTTGGCCAGGCCTCGCTCAGCTGGTTTCCTGCTCACCTGGAGACCCAGGACCCTAGAGCAGTCAGGGCTCATTGTGTGCACCCAGGAGATGGTGAGAGGGGCGTATGGGTGGCCATCAGCATGAAGAGTGACATGCAGGGAGGCACAGGGGTGAAGTACTGCCCTGTGGCCTGGCAGGAGGGGACAAGGTGAGCTAGGACAGCAGGAAGGTTGCATAGCACAGGAGGTGGCCAGGTCAGCTTCCGGGCAAGAATTTGGCATGATTGTGGCACAGCTGACGTGAGGTGGTGACCTGGATGGTCAGCACACAGGTGACAAGTGCCATGGGGCACACAGGAGAGGGCCTTCATCATCCATTTTCACTGGCTGTCTATCTTTTTGCAAAACAGCCCAGCACAGGAGGGTTGTCCTAGAGCAGCGGGCCCAGAAGAGATGCTTGTGGCTGTGTGGCTGACAACAGCCAATGCCAGGGTCGGCGTCCAGCCACAGCTCTGTGGGGAAGCCTGTGGTGTAGTCCATGAGTGGACACTGCAGGCTGTGAGTGTGCAGGGCAGTGGCAGCCGCCACCAAGGAGTGCCAGACACATAGGACAAGGGCCAGAGACCCCGCCTAAGATGTGGGCCCCCACTGTTGTAGGGGCTGGCTCCAGGCTCAAGCCACAGGCCCCATGGTGAGGCTGCCATTCCACGAGGTTCCTAAGAGGAGAACCAAGGAGAGGACACTGAGGGGCCGAGAGGCAGGGACGCCGAGGCAAATGCCCAAGCTCATGTTTCTGGTTGCTGGGGGTGCGCGTGCCTGACTGCTGTCCTCTCCTCTCAGCTCTCGGGGCCGCCTGGCAGCAGGCAGGGGAGCCTGACGGCCTGCAGCCGCTTCCTGAAGACCCCCTCCTGCAGAGGTGGGCAGCACTTCACTCTTCCACGGAAAAAGATGTTCACGCCACGCAACCTAAAACTGACATTCTTTAATAGCGATATTTGCTAAAATCAGGAGTACTTTATACCTTTATGAGGGATTTTTCATTTTCTTCCTGGCTGGGTTCGATGCTGGAAACCAGAACTGTCTGTGGAGCGGTTTTCCAGATCCCAGGCCCATTTCCCGGAATCTGTCCAACGGGACCTGTCCTGTGCTCTGGGCCCGTCTCAGGTCTCACCGAGAGACAGAGGGTGTGTCCTTGGCAGAGCCAGTCCTCGTGGTAGGCAGAGGCTTCTGGGCACAATGGCAGGCTGCCAGCACCCAGGGGACACCCAGGGGTCCCCTACCCCATGTGAATGCTGCTGGCAGCTGCTGGGGGATGCCTAGGGATGGACCCTGGGCATGGCTTCTGGGCTGCTTAGCCCAGGGGGAACAACTCATGGTCAAAGGGGAAGGCGCTGAAATGGTACCAGAGGGACAGCTGAGAGGCCGAGCACGGTGACTCACGCCTGTAATCCCAGCACTTTGGAAGGCCATGGTGGGCAGATCACCTAAGGTCAGGAGTTTGAAACCAGCCTGACCAACATGGAGAAACCCCATCTCTACTAAAAATACAAAATTAGCTGGACATGGTGACGCATGCCTGTAGGCCCAGCTACTTGGGAGGCTAAGAGAATCACTGGAACCTGGGAGGCAGATATTGCGGTAAGCCGAGATCGAGCCACTGTACTCCAGCCTGGGCAACAGAGCAAAACCCCATCTCAAAAAAAAAAAGAGTGCTCAGAAACCCTTCTGTCTGTCCCACTCTGCCGTGCCCCTGGCTGCTGGGCATGCAGCTGTGCTGTCTCCTCAGTGCCTCGAAGGCCCCTCGCTCACTGCCTGTGCCCCGCCCCTGCCCAGCAGCCTCAGGACAGGCCTCTCTCCCTCACGGCTATGGACAGGAGGTCACACCACTGGCCTGAGAAAGCTTCTAGTGGGCCCATGGCTTTCCCTCATTCTCTGCCAAGGAAAACCATTCTCTTCAAAGGGCAGAGCCAAGAAATCAGGCCTGACTTTTGCACAATTTTATTAAATAAAACGGCCTAGATAAGCCTGTTCTCACTGGTTCATCGACTGGGGGGACTGATACTTGAAATCCCGTCCCCAGGAGAGGACTGAAGTCTAAGCAAGTGGCCACCCTGGCTGTCTCTGTTCCAGCCAAGGCCACTTGCAGGACCGTAGCCTCCATGTCGCCGTAGTTATCAGTGGGATGTGTGCAGTGATGGGCAGGTGTTTCCATCAGGAGGGGAGGAGGAAGTGATGTCCCTGCATGCACCCTGGCCTCAGCCACCCAGCTGTGCAGCCAGAGGCTTTGAGGTATATGATGAGGATAGTTCCTTTTTGTTTGTTTGTTTTTGACGTCACATGTTTTGGAAAGCTGCCTTAATTTTTTTTGCATTTTCAGCCAGCTAAAAGTGGGAATTTAGAGACTGTTTTTGTAACATGCAGCTTCTTTCAAAGGCACCGTCTTTTGGAACCAGCAAGACCCTCCAGGAGGTGCCCTAGCTTCCTAGCCTTTAGAAGTTAGACTTTAGGCCAGAAGCGGTGGCTCACGCCTGTGTTCCCAGCACTTTGGGAGGCCGAAGCGGGTGGATCACAAGGTCAGGAGTTCAAGATCAGCCTGGACAATATGGTGAAGCCTCACCTCTACTAAAAATACAAAAGTTAGCCAGGTGTGGTGGCGGGCACCTGTAGTCCCAGCTACTCAGGAGGCTGAGACAGGAGAATTGCTTGAACCTGTGAGGTGGAGGTTGTGGTGAGCCAAGATCACGCCATTGCACTCCAGAGCAAAACTCTGTCTCAAAAAAAAAAGATTTTAACAAGCCAAGATATTCCATCCTGCACCTTTCATTCCAAGATTCAGGTTTAGACTATGTTATGGCATCACCGTGTCACCCATGGTGGCTCTTGCTCCTCACCTGGCTGGACGTGGGTGACCCACAGACCTCAGAAGGCCAAGACTCTGTCCTGACCTCCCTGTGGCCCTCACAGGAACCTCAGAGGCAGCAGGTTCCAACCCTGACTTCTGTCCCACCCAGCAGAGAAGAGAGGCCCTGCTGCTCTCATCCCCAGTGGGCAGTGAGAGGAAGGAGGACCCCACAGAGTCAGGTAAGGAGGGACCAGGCGAGGTGCATGCAAACCGCTTGCCCACAGCCGCCAAGCCCCCAGGATCTGGAGGTCTCCTGCGACAGACACATCCAGAGCTCCCTGGCCTCCCTCAGGACCACACTGAATGCTTGGGAAGAGTGTCAAAAGCTGGGACTGGGGGCAGGGAGCTGCGGACACCACCCGGGAACACCCTCTCACAGACGTGCTGGGATTTTTGTTCCCGAAGTCTGGAGCCCCACCAGGGGCTCTGGGATTGTGGGCAGGAGACAAGCCCCCGAAGCTGAAGAAGAGGAGCAGGGCCACAAGAGCCCCCGGGCACCAGGCAAGGCGCCGGAATGGAGGGCAAAGGAAGCCTCCAGTGACTGGAAGGATGGTGGTCTGGCTGAGGAAGGGAGAAATCCTGCAGCCTCCGAAGCTGGTAGCTTGGCGCGACACACAGGCTGATGTCCAGAATCACCTCAGACTTCCGGCCCCAGAATCGCCGCGCTCAGACCTCAGGCACGTCCAGAACCACCGCGCTCAGACCTTCAGGCCCCACACAAGCACGTGCCCCGATGCCACCCTCAGGACGTCTGAGGCCTTCACCACAGCTGCAGGGACGTCCAGAGCCAGCTCAGCTATGGGGAGCAACAGTTCCATGCCCGCTCTGGCAACGTGGCAGCAGAAGACCCGTGTCCCCCTCTGGAAATAAACGCTGTTTTCTTCAGCCTCTACTGTTCTGTTACATGAAATGTCGAGCCTACAATGAGACATTACAGGACACATGAAAAGGCAAGAAAACGTGAGGCACAGTGAGCAGCGGAAGCGGAGACAGCCCGGTGGTCAAACTATATGTCAAGGGCTGCGAGAGAACTCCGGGGAGGTGGGGAGGCCCGTGGAAACGGCAGGTGGCATCCGTGAAGAGACGTCCAGCACAAACATGGAAACTTCAGAAAAGAACAAAAGGAAGAGCTAAACATGAAGACGATGGTATATAAATGAGTGCTCTTTAGACAGGCTTAGCAGCAGACTGGACCCCACAGAGGAACGGGTCAGTTTTCTGGAAGACTGGTCACTCAGGAAGATCCAAACACAGCAGGGAGGGCAAACGACAGAGGGCTGAGGGCTGTGGGGCAAAGGCAGTGGCCTGATTTGGGTGTGACTGGAGTCCCAGATCAGGAATAGGAGACAGAATGAAGGAAAAATATTTCAAAATTGAATCACTAATAACTTTTTACAGATCCAAGAATCTGTAACTGCCAGCAGGTGCCGTATAGAGAAAACCTGAACACATCCTCCATTCCTAAAGGCAGCTCGGGTGGAAACAGGAGATTCGTATAAAGAAGCAATAATATGAACAATGCCTCACTTCCCATCAGAAGGCCACAGACCCACAGCTGCTGTGCCAAGGGAAAAGGAAGGCCGACCTAGTTCACATACGTTGAAATATTCTTCAGGCCGGGCGTGGTGGCTCACGCCTCTAATCCCAGCACTTCGGGAGGCTGAGGTGGGTGGGTCACCTGAGGTCAGGAGTTTGAGACCATCCTGGCCAACATGGAGAATCCCCATCTGTACTAAAAATAGAAAAATTAGCTGGGTGTGGTGGCGGGCACCTGTAATCCCAGCTACTCAAGAGGCTGAGGCTGGAGAATCACTTGAACCTGGAAGGGGAAGGTTGCAGTGAGCCGAGATCACACTACTGCCCTCCAGCCTGGGAGACAGAGTGAGACTCCATCTGAAAAAAGAAAAAGAAATACTCTTTTAAAGTGAAGGCATTATCAACCAGGATACAGAAACCACATCAGTTATCTGAAGAAAATATATAAAGCCGTTTCACCCACCTGGGCCTCAGGTGGCCACTCTGTCCTGGTCCCATGGGTGTGGCAAAGGCCCTTCCTCCCACAGATGTCAGGCCTGTGTCGTGCTGGCAGCTTTCCTCTGCCTGTTCCTGCTTTCTGTCCTTCACAAGTCTTTCCCCAAATAAATTTCTTGAACGTGTAAATCTATCCTGGCCTTTGATTCCCAGAGGCCCTGAAGGAACATGACGGTCACCTGACCCACGTGACGCTGCAGAGCGCTCATTCTTTCTAGTGGATGTGGAGCTCTCTCCAAGCAGATCAGATGCTAAGCTGTCAACCACATCAGACGCCAGGGACATGGCCTTCAGAGGCTTTAGCCATCATGCAAAACATCTGGCCACCCTGAAGCCTCTGTGCTGGAGAAACGCCTGGAGCAGTCCCAGAGAGATGGTGACAGATGTCCAAGGACCCAGCTGCTGGAGTCTTCCATCTGGCCACCCTGAAGCCTCTGTGCTGGAGAAACGCCTGGAGCAGTCCCAGAAAGATGGTGACAGATGTCCAAGGACCCAGCTGTTGGAGTCTTCTGGCCAGCAGGCCAGTCCTGTGAGGGAGGAAGCCTTCAGGGTGGGATGCGTCCAGCTGCAGCCGCTGCCTGACGGCAATGGCCTGACAGATCCCAGCAAGAGCCTGAGCCCAGCCAGCCGCTGGTGTGTGATCATGGTGGTAACAGATGGAGGGTGCTGCGTGCTGTGAAGCTAGTGATGGTGGTTACATGGCCAGAGGTCAGTGGAACAGCACATGTCCAGATCGCTGGAAACGTAGTATGTGAAACTGAATAATGAAAGTGCACTTACCAAAATTTGAGTGAAAGCAGTGCTTAGAAGGAAATTTATAGCTTTAAATCTTTATATTAGAAAATAAGAAAAGTATGAAACCACCCAAGATTTCATGTTAATATACAAGAAAAAGAGCAAATTAAACCAAAAGTAAGTAGAAAGAGGGAAATAAAACTGAGAGCTGACATCAACAAAATGGAAAATGGCAGAA